ATAGATCTTAAAGTCACAAGCGAAAAGATACCAAAAAATGGATTACATCTTAAAATATAACGCTCTCGGACTGACCCGGAAACACTAGAATGACGGCTAGAATCTAACCCAACCGATACAACCGATTTAAAAGAAAAGTTTAAGAAATTTGGTCTGAAATTAGACTACAACCACAAAAATCATTTATTGATAGTACGTTAAAAAGAGTTATGTATTGTGACGCGGTTACAATACCGGGCTACAGTTTTAATCACGTTTGTAATAATTTTTAATTTAAAATATATTTCTCCATCTCGAAATTAGTAGTGGCTCAGCCTCGTACATCACACTTTTCATTTAACAATAGAGTCGTGCCGGTCACCTATATAACCCCTTTCGGGGCAGAATATATTTGAATTGAAGAAACGTGACTTCCGGTTTGAATCGCACCAAAAGTCTGGTCCCATTTTAGTTACTCCTCGCTTACCTAACTTAAGATATTTTTGCGGGGTTTTTACTTTTATTTTAGTCTTACTCTTTATATAACAGAGGGAAAGTATGGCGATTCGGAAAAATAGCTCCGCACCAGATTTTCACACTTTTTTTAGCTCAGGATTCCTTGAAACGTCGAGAAATACAAAACTTCGAAAGGAGGGATAATTTCTGTATGTATGATTGTGTGAACATGTTAATGTGTGTGTGTGTGTCATGATTTTATTCACTACGTTTACGCTTAATATCTCCTGTGCTTTTTGTCGAATATTTCTGAAAGTTTGCAAAATTTTGTCCATTTATTAGGGAAAATGATGGTATTAAATGTTTGTAGTAAAAGGACGACAAGGTAGAAAAATAAAGAAATCATATGCATCTTAAGTAGGATCATACTTGACGATTTTACTCCTTATTTGCATTTACAATTTTTTATAAAACTCATTCCTAACCTCAAAATTAAACTTTTTCCCATTTTATAATAGTTAAAAATATAAAAGTTTTCAAAATAACATATTATAACGGATGGCGCCACCGAATGTTGCCGGAAAAGTTAAGCAATTCGTTGCTACATTTTTTTAATTTATTTGATTGGGGGATTCATCATCGTCGTCCATCGACTGTTCGAACAAAATATCCGGTCAGCCCAGTCAACTCGTCCATTTTCCCCTATTGTGCTACGTCTAATCTTTACCCACCTTTCTCCAATTCTCTCCGCCTACCTCTATGTCTTGTTCTTGTTTATTATAACGATCGATGCTTCGCTCGAAGAAATCGGAAGTAGCGAGGATACGGCTACATTTGAGGAAGACGTTCTTAAATGCTCTCGCGTGAAGTTGCGTGCAAAGTTAGGTAAATGAACTAACTGTATTTCTAGAAAATACGGACTTAAAATTAAAAATGAGAAAACTGAAATCGTGGACACGAGTAGGGATATACAAAGAACAACCGAAGGAAATGAAACCATTTTGAAACGGGTGGGATATTTTAAATATTTTAATAGTACACGAAAGAAACGAGGTAAAAAAACAAGAAATAACAAGATTAATAAGACAAATCCAGATATTTTATTGAAGTGTATCAGGCCTTTTATGAAATAACGAAGTCCCGTTAAAATGCAATAGACTTTTACATGAGATCTATTTTGTGCCGTATTATCATTTGCTTCAAAGACACGGATATTAAACAAATAAGAAACAATTAGAATTCAATCAATGGAAATAAAACTCCTGAAGTCAAAATTATGCTACACAAAACTATAAAGTCGTCAGCGACCTTTTGTACAGATTACAAATTTAATAGAGAGGTTGAAGCGCACGTTTTAAACGTGTAAACGTGTACGTGTGACGTTCGGCGCCGCTTTCCCGTAAGCCTAAAAGTTTGACAATGGTGTTTGGATAGTCGGTGGAATCACGCTCGACATTCCAAACACCATCGTCAAACTTTTAGGCTTACGGAAAAGCGGCGCCGAACGTCACACGTACACGTTTACACGTTTAAAACGTGCGCCTCAACCTCTCTAATGATAATTTTTCAAAACGGGAAAATGTTACTTCCACTTTCGAATTTTATATTCAGAAAATATTGTTTAATTATCGATGTTCAATATTTACTGATGCTTAATTAACTGCTTTATTATGCAATAATTATACATTGTATAATATAATTTGTAATAAAAATGGGCAAAAGGTATACAAGATTAATTTCAATGAAAGCAAAAGGAAAATAAAAACAATTTATGAACAATTATTCATTAAAGCGATCGAACACAAAGCATTTTAATTGTCCAAATTACAGAATTTGTCAGGTGTAAATATTATAATAAATCACTTCTTCTTCCTTTGGCTTTGCCACTTGGTCGACGTTTCCTTTTTTGCGGCAATAAACAGAGTAAGCAAACACAATCCAACCGAATAACAATAGAGAAGTAAGAACTGCCACTGCGATTTTTTATTCAAACACAGAACTAACTTAACCGAAATTATATTTGTTCGAAAAAGAATCATTTGCTGAAGATGTCAAATTGATTTTTGGAACTTCTGTGCATTCGTCATTGGAAACAATTTCGATGAAAGACACAGAAGACGAATTTCTGCTGCAGTAAATATTGGAGAAATCTGCAATCTTCTGTTTCTTTCTAAGTAACCAGTCCTTCGTAAAAAGCGAATGGCAATTGCAATTCCAATTGTTTGTGGATAAGTAGACTTTAACTTCTGTAGAAACGTCGATGAAGTTCATTAATCCGAAAGGTAATTGGGTTAACCGGTTTCCGTCCAACCACAGAGATTTCACCATTGGCAAAAGAAAAGAATCCGGAATATTACTTATTGAATTATTACTCAGACGCAGATGTGTGACGTTTCTCCACGTCACGCAATCGACATCAGATAACTCCTTTATGTAATTATTACTTAAATCGACAATCGTCGCATTCGAGACGAGAACTTCGGGAATTCTGTCGATTTCCTTTCCCGAACAATCCACCTTCACGTGATTTTCTTTGGCAAAACATTCGCAATTCATCGGACAATAATTTCCTATGACTACGAGCGATGTATTATCCAGCAAGTTTCTTTCTTCTTCGTAACATTTCGTCTTCTCTATATCTGGAAACATTTTCTTTGCCACTTCTCTATTTGACTTAAGAGCAGAAACGAATTGCTGCAGTTCGTGGTCACAAGTAATTTCGTTATTACTTAAATCATAAGTTGGCATTTGAAATTCATATTGACTGTCATCGATGTAAATTGTTTTGATTTTACAGTTAGACAGTTGAATTTTTACGCGATTTGGTGTGTAAATTGGCAATTTGACGGTTTCGAAATGATTATTTGAAAATTGGACTCTAGTTAAGTTGTATTCTGTCCAATTTATCACTGGCCATTCATATAAATAGAGAGTACGGAGATGCTTGCTGCTGCCGAAAGGATGCTCACCGATAATTTTAGTTAATAACTTGTTGTGAGATAGATCGAGATGCGTTAAATTAGTCAATGGGAGAAAGATATTTTCGTGTAAAAATGTCAGGCGATTTACTGATAAATCGAGTCTTTGCAATGACGACAAATTCTGAAAAACATCTTCGGGAAGATTTTCTAATTCGTTTGCCCATAACTCTAACTCTCGCAGTTCAGAAAGACCATGAAAAAGTCTTGTTGGAAGTGTCGATATTGAAGTTCCTCAACAGGAAAATTGTGTTAGTAGTTTGTTGCTACTCAGAAGATTTGGAGGGGGATGTTCAATTTGGTTTAAACCTAAATTGACAGTTTTCAAATTAATTGTCAGAAAATACATCTTCTTCGAGTGAAGAAATAGAACAATAATGTCCATTAATTTCAGTCAAGTTGTGCAGTTCCTTAAAAAATCCGGACGGAATTTTTGATAATTCATGGTTTTCATAAATATAAAATTTCCTTAAATTAGAAAGACCTTTCAACATGTCACTGGGTAAATCCTTTATCCAATTCTGATTTAAATCCTAATATTCCAATCGAATGAGATTTCTAAAGACAAGTGGGTGAATCGATTCAATTTTATTGTAACTTAAGTCCAGTTTTGTCAAACCGTAAAGGTTATAAAACAGATGTTCTGGTATGACTTTTAACATACCATACTTGATGTATAATTCGGAAAGATTAATTAACTCTCGGAAAGGTTTGTTCGGAAATAAACTGAAGTTATAGTGATATATTTGCAATGAAGTCAGAGATCGGACATTATTAAATGTTAAATTTACAAGTTCCGACATCTGCAATCCTGCTATTACGACAGATTGCAGAGAGGACATGTTATTAAACGAAACGCTCTCGAAGTTTCTTTTATAGTGGTTTGTTTCGTACAATATCTCGACTCGTTCGATTTCATACCCGAAAGTAAAGATTCCAAAGTCAATCCCAGACATATAACAATCTATAAATTGTATCTCTTGTACATTTTTTACGTCCAAACATCGCATCAAACGAGAGTCAATCCTTTCCTCGCCGCACTTGATGGATAAGGATTGATTTAATATTTGAATGGAGGAAAAGTTCTTTGTTTCGAAGCAGCTGCCGATGACTTACAAGAAAAATTTCTCCAATGTTGTCAAAACTCTTGACAAGAATTTACCGCTAAAAATAGCAATTGAAACACGATAACAAACCTCATCTTGTTCGACGAAACTTTTAATTAATTCAACACGAAGAGCTGCAAAAACAGTCGACGAAAAATACACAATAGCGAAACCGTGTACTTACGGATTTAATACCGTTACTACTTTCTCGCGACTGATTGAAAACGCGATAAATTATGACGTCGGTGACTTCGATTCGTCATTCTGAACAGAAATAAGACGTATGTAGTGTTTAATTTCCTCGTTTATTTCCGCTGCATTGCAAGGAACAAGATTTGATTAATGTTAAATGAATTTTTTACGAACCAAAACTTTGTTTTGCACATATATGTAATCCAACACCTTATTTTTCGCTGAGAGATTATTTTTAATTAAAACAAACGTTTTCGATCCATTCATTGGATCATCTTCAGGCTAAAACATGAAAAAACAAACGTATAATAAAGCGTTAGAAGAATACATCAGAAAAACGGAATGTATTAAGATCAATAGTAATATAGTTGAAGCAATTGATAGAAGGATTAAAAAGCTGGAAGGAACAAAACTAGCGAAGATCTTACCTTTCTTACAAAAATGCCGAAACCCTAGGCCAGGGACCCCGAGGTTATTCGCCTTCGCTAAAACTCATAAAGAGGGCAAGAAAATAAGACCTATTGTGGAAAAACGGAAAGCACCCACAAGTAAGTTGCAAGTATATCTCTCTTCCATGATGGAAAGTAATGAATTGGTGGCAAAGGATCCTGTGAAGGTGGTCAAAGAGCTACAAGACCTTATCTTAATGGATGAAGAAGTGGGAACTGTTTTAGATTACGAAAGTTTGTACCCTTCTATTAGGATTGAAGCGTGTGTAGAAGCACTTTTGGAGTTTTTGAATAGAGTAAACCCAATGTTAGCACAGCACGGTAATGAGGTTGCAGAGATGGTTAATCTAGTATGTTGCGAATCCTTTTTCGTTTTTGAAGGCCAAACATATAAACAAAATAGAGGGGTCCCAATGGGAAGCCCAATTTCAGGGCTCCTATGCGAGCTTGTCGTTAGAAAACTAGAAAGAAAAATACTGAGTAGCTTTGAAAGAAATATTGTATACTACAAGAGATATGTAGATGATGTATTCATTTTATGGAAAAACAATCGAGCAATTGCTGAATTCGTAGATAGAGTTAACGATAACGAGGAAGGTCTTAGGTTGAAGCTAGAGCAAAAAAGCTCTATGAAGGTACATTTCTTAGACATTAGTATCATATTTAGGAGAGGACGTATATCCACCAACGTATTCATTAAACCAACACATAGTCCACTATATATCCCTGCAAACTCTAATGACCCTTATAGGTATAAAATAGCAGCGTTTCGAGCATTGGTTAGGAGGGCCTTTATATACTGTGAAAGCGTTATAGACCGGGATGCAGAGTTAGAAAGAATTATGCAATTGGCAGGAACATTGGGTTACAAGAGGAATGTGATTAAGGGAATTATTAGAAAATTAGAGGATAATAAAGATATAAAAACGGCACAAGGTCCTTCTAAATACA